TAGACAGACTGACTGACTGAGAGTGATTAACAGTAAGTAGAGGTCAGGGTGGAGGGGGGAGGGGGGGCGAGTGTCTTTATCATATTGGTCTGTTGACAGAAAGCATAGCTGCGTCATGTGACTCCACTAATCAGGTCATAGGAGCAGCTGTGAGTCACAGACAGAGATCCTGCAGCGTGTGAGCGAGTAACCACGACAACGGCGCACGTGTGCTCATTAACGAGCTGCTGCAAAAGGCAGGGACATGGCAGCAAGTTACACAGAATCCACACCTCAAACAAATGAGAACCAGCGCAAAACTATAACAGCTATCTAAAAAATACGGCGTTTGTATGAGACCCAAGACTCTACCGAACGCGTGGATGTGCTTTTTATGTCTGTCCGGTAATAAATACGGCTCCTATGGCCGTTTACAAAACGTGTACCTTGTGGATTTTTGTGAGAAATATGTCGGCAGATTTGTATTGGAGCCTATGGGGCTTTTGGCAGAGTTTGTGTCACTCAAACACTCCTTGCGCCAAAACTAAAAAACTCTGGGATTCCATGAACACATTAATCCAATCAGCACAACCATACCCTCATTAATCTGAAGAAATGAAGCCTCTAGAGTGTATACTTTGGCTGCAAGGACAGAAGTTCCATACTTTTTTAACCAGATTTCTGCGCTGCTTCACCCTCTAGCCCGCGAGGTCCCCCTCTAGCAGACGCAATACACACTCATGTAAAAGTCAGAAACGGAGCGAAAAACTAGTGAAACATAATCAGTGATTATGAAAAAAGTACAATAGATATCAAGAAGCAGTTTTTTTCATAAAATAGTTGAGACTTGTGTGAACATTTGAGAGTTGAAATGGTGTCTGTAGCTGAAAGATTTGCGAAGCTGAAAAATCTGAAAGTTGAAGAAGTTGAAGAGGATTTGAAAAGCAAACTCCATTTGAAAACCATGTTAAAATATTAACGATTATTGATTTATATAAATTCAAGCTTAAGAGGTAGAAAGCTGAAAAGTCATAGCCCTCAAGCCAGAAAGAAGCTGAATATTTTAATATTTGAAGGATTTTAATAGCTGAAAGTGTGAAGGAGTTGAAAGGTGGCACGGAAGAAATAGAAGAATAATAATAATAAGTTGAAATAAAGATTCGAAGAACAATACTTGGAATGCTTAAAGCATTCCAACTAACTAGAAAAAGCTCTTCCTGCTGAAAATGCGTTGGAATGCAAAAATCTGAAAGCTGCACTGAATATTTAAAAATAGCTGAAAATACAGAAAGTTGAAGGGAATTTGAATACATTTGCTGAAATGACAGATATTTGAAAAGCTGAAATTAATTTGAAATTGCTGAAAATACAGAAATGGGAGAAGCTGAAAGGAATTTCAATAGATTTGCTGAAAAAGCAGAAATGAAAACAGCTGAAATAAATGTGAAATATTGCAAAAAAAGTATACAGAAATGAATATTAAAACATTGCTGTTAATAGAGGCATGAGAAAAGCTGAAATTATTTTAAAGAATTGCTGAAAATACAGGAAGTGGGGAAGCTGAATTCCATTAGATTTTCTAAAAAATACAGAAGTTGCAGGAGCTTAATTGAATTTTAAAAAGTACAGAAATAACAAAAGCTCAGATGAATAAAAAGAGGTTTAAAATTGGTTGTAGTAATATTAGTTATAGTTGTAATTTTGGTATTAGTAGTACTAGCAGTAGCAGTCGGTTTATTATCAATAGCAGTAGAAACAGCTGTAATACTAACACTATTAGCCATAGTAGTATTTGTAATAACATTAGTAGTAGTTGTAGTATTAATAGCAGTAGAAATACTAGTAGTATGGTAGTAGAAGTATCAGTTGTAGTACTAGAAGTACGAGTAATATTCGTAGTGGGAGACAGAATGATTGTTATTCAAACTGACAAGTTTTTAATTAATAGGCCTCATCACAAACATTACAGTAAAAATTCCCTCCATGGGGCTTTTATTTTGAAATTATTGGATTGGGTGGGGTGGGGAGGTGTAGATAGAGGGAGGGAGGGTGAGAGGGTGAGGAAGGGAGGGGTGGTGAGGAAGAGATAGAGGGAGAGAGAGAGGAGGAGAAATAGACAGACTGACTGAGTGAGTGATTAACAGTGAGAAGAGGTCAGGGTGGAGGGGGGAGGGGGGGCGAGTGTCTTTATCATATTGGTCTGTTGACAGAAAGCACAGCTGCGTCATGTGACTCCACTAATCAGGTCATAGGAGCAGCTGTGAGTCACAGACAGAGATCCTGCAGCGTGTGTACGAGTAACCACGGCAACGGCGCACCTATTGGATTGGGTGGGGTGGGGGGGTGTAGATAGAGGGAGGGAGGGTGAGAGGGTGAGGAAGGGAATGGTGGTGAGGATGAGATAGAGAGGGAGAGAGGAGGAGAAATAGACAGACTGACTGTCTGAGAGTGATTAACAGTGAGAAGAGGTCAGGGTGGAGGGGGGAGGGGGGGGAGTGTCTTTATCATATTGGTCTGTTGACAGAAAGCATAGCTGCGTCATGTGACTCCACTAATCAGGTCATAGGAGCAGCTGTGAGTCACAGACAGAGATCCTGCAGCGTGTGAGCGAGTAACCACGACAACGACGCACCTGTGCTCATTAACGAGCTGCTGCAAAAGGGCAGAGACATGGCAGCAAGTTACACAGAATCCACACCTCAAACAAATGACATTCAGCGCAAAACTATAACAGCTATCTAAAAAATACGGCGTTTTTATGAGTTACAAGACTCTACCGAACGCGTGGATGTGTGTTTTATGTCTGTCCGGTAATAAATACGGCTCCTATGGCCGTTGACAAAACGTGTACCTTGTGGATTTTTGTGAGAAATATGTCGGCAGATTTGTATTGGAGCCTATGGGGCTTTTGGCAGAGGTTGTGTCACTCTAACACTCCTTGCGCCAAAACTAAAGAACTCTGGGATTCCATGAACGCATTAATCCAATCAGCACAACCATACCCTCATTAATCTGAAGAAATGAAGCCTCTAGAGTGTATACTTTGGCTGTAAGGACAGAAGTTCCATATTTTTTTAACCAGATTTTCGCGCTGCCTTACACTCTAGCCCTCGAGGTCCCCACTGTAGCAGACGCAATACACACTCATGTAAAAGTCAGAAACGGAGCGAAGAACTAGTGAAACATAATCAGTGATTATCAAAAAAGTACAATGGATATCAAGAAGCTGTTTTTTTCATAAAATAGTTGAGACTTGTGTCAACATTTGAAAGTTTAAATGGTGTCTGTAGCTGAAAGATTTGCGAAGCTGAAAATCTGAAAGTTGAAGAAGTTTAGGAGGATTTGAAAACAAACTCCATTTGAAAACCTTGTTAAAATATTAATGATTATTGATTTATATAAATTCAAGCATAAGAGGTAGAAAGCTGAAAAGTCATAGCCCTCAAGCCAGAAAGGAGCTGAACATTTTAATATTTGAAGGATTTTAATAGCTGAAAATGTGAAGGAGTTGAAAGGGGGCGCGGAAGAAATAGAAGAAGATGAAGAAATAAAGATTCGAAGAACAATACTTAATAATAATAATGCATCTAATGCATTCCAACAATAAGTTGAAATAAAGATTCGAAGAACAATACTTGGAATGCTTAAAGCATTCCAACTAATAAAGATTCGAAGAACAATACTTGGAATGCATCCTTAATGCATTCCAACAATAAGTTGAATAAAGATTCGAAGAACAATACTTGGAATGCATGCTTAATGCATTCCAACAAATAAAGAATAGAAGAACAATACTTGGAATGCATAATGCATTCCAACAATAAAAAGGAGATGAAAACACTTACACCTGAACTATAACACTGTGGGGGTTTCAACTACACAACATTCAAACTGATATTATAGACAAGTTTCCTGAGTGAAATAAGCGGGCCGCCATTGGCCTTTCACTCTGCCAACGACTTCCGGTTGTGTCTGCAAAGCACTTCCGGTTAGCGAGTTAGCGTCTTTTACGGTCTTTCGTTAGCGTGCAGAAAAAGTAAACTATGGATGGTGTTACACGCCGACACGGCTCCGGGACATATTGTGCTGTTACCGGTTGCAACAACTCGTGGCGATTGCTGAATGTTTGGTCGGAAAGAGAATGTTTCGACCATCAACCATCTACAAGTGAGTAAAATGCTATATATTTGCACTCAAATACGGAAGGCTTATCATTCAAAGTCAACACAGTCTACTAATTATTACGCAGACGTATGTCAGCTTTTTCATAGAAAAAAAAGTAAGTTAATACCTTTATCCATTCCGAAGCTATTAATAGATATGTCAGGGGTGCGCACTTTGACGCTCGTCAGTCGACTTTGAAGGGTTAAATGCTTTTAGTGCAGGCAGGCTAGAGGGGATTACTTTTTCTTTTTATTACTCTTCGTGTTCTGTTATATATTAACACACGGATACATACAAACATCTTATCTTAACGTACCTTCCAAAGCGCGGCGGCTGCATGGCTACAGGTACAGCCTGCAGTCTCCACATCTCCCGTCTTGGTAACCAAAACCCAGGCGTTATGCGCTGAATTGTTAACGGACTGGCTTGGCTGAACATCGGCCTTTATATGCCCATATCGTGTAAAAGTACACAGCCCACTTTGTCGGAATGGAGGTACTGAAACGCCTCTGAGCTTATCAGGTTATTAATTGCATTCCCATCCACCGCCATGGAATCAATAAAATAAGAAAAGATCTTGGATGTTGTGATGCTGGGCCATATCGACATGTTGTCCGGCCATGATGTTACCTTACTTGGATGCGGAATGGTCAAAACACCATTTTTAACAAGATTTTCGGTCGAATGTTGCCATTCCAAAGCCATTTTTACACCACTACTCAGCCTGCGCCGGAAGTTCTTGGCAGAAACAGAAAGTAAACCGGAAGTGCCCGGGGAACTTGTCTATATGAAGGGAGGGCAACAGCAGTTGTTAAAGTAAGTAGTGTTAATAATGGTTTTGGTTAACGGTTACATACCTGCAGCTCACACCAAGCCACCTCAACTGTGGTCTCGGTATCCAGGCCTTTGTAGACCGTCTTGAAGGAGCCACGTCCAATTTCGATATCAAACTTTAGGAAACGCCCATCTGGTGACGTTCCCACAGCTTTGGTCTCAGCCTCTTCAATGTCGTCCTGAACTTTTTTCTCAGCCTCCCGCTGCTCTGCCTCTGCCCGCGCCTTGGCTGAGTCCTTATCGTCTTCCTCCCCCTCCTCCCCGTGATGCACCTTCACTTCGGTGGTGCTCTTAGGTTCTGTTCGACTTGGCAATTCTGTTTCTAGGCCTGGTGGAGAGAAGGCCGCTGTCACCTCTCCATCACAGGTATCTTTTTTAATGGCAGGCTCCAGCTCTGAAGGCAATACATCCACCTTGGCTACCTCTTTCCTATGGCCCCCCCCTCCTCGTTTATCAGCGGCCTCTTGATTTTGAGCTACACTTAGTTCAGTCCGGGTCAAACAAGCAGCAGGAGTGGTCAGTTGCTTCTGGGGGACGGCGTCCCGCTGTGGAACCCGCTGATGTGCAGGGACGGGTATCTTGCTGGGTAAAGGGAGGGCCAATGCCGTGGCATTAGAGTCACTGATGACGCTCCGGCGCAAGAAGCGGTGTTCAGCGGTACATCGATCGCGCTCCATGGTGTGATGCCGCCGTCTCACTTCCGTCGGCCGGCACTCACTCACCATTGAATCTGAACCAGAACTGGGGCCATTTCCACTCTTCTGAGGGGGAGCCAGGAACTTCACCATTTTGTCGTCTGGTTTTTCCGACATCCCACCACCCACACTAAGCGTAAGGGGGTACACGGACTGAAAAATTAAAATAATGAGACTTCCATGTCCGCCATGTAGGCTTATATTAGCAGTATTGATCTATGCTTTAAAAAGGAAAAGAGATACAAAGTCTTTGAACTTTTATCTCCTGTCGTCTTTTGAGTTAATCAAAGGCAGTCTTTATATATATAGTGCTGAGATTGGAGGCGCGGGATGGGAGGTGTTCGCTTGTAAACGGTAAGAGAGAAAACACCACAGAGTGCTGATGTTGATACACAAGTCTCTTTAAGTCCACACCATCCATTCTGTAAGACACAGGGTGCAGCTTCTATCGGGCATAAGGAATCACTGGTGGGGAAGAAACATGCACAGCTCACAAAAGGCACCGATCTTCCTACTGTAGGCGGAGGACAGAAGGCCAGAAGCTCCAAATGGGTTTCAGTTCTGTTTTGCTGCAAGGGGGATAAAAAAAAAGCTGCTTGAATTGTTTGTAACAGAATTTGTAATAGACAAGTAGAACTTACAATATACATATGGTAAGATAGCATTGCTTTCATTGGTGCAGAATACAGCAAAAATCATTTGATCATTTTTTTCCTTATGGTTTCTCACTCTGGTAATAATCCCAGGAACATACATCGTAGGCATATGTAGGTATTCACAGTGGCTTTCCCAGCATGCATTTTTGCTGTATTTATCTAAATAATAAAATATTCATGTGTATGTTATGTGGCACAAATTCCAAATGCATTTCACATCCGTTAATGACACACTAACCTCTTAACACCTCACATATGTTAAACACCAGAAGTCACTGATCATTTCACCCTCGAGAAGAAACGTCGTATGCAGTTCATCGTGAGGTTAGTTAATATTGTCTGGATATTTATAGTTCTTAAAATAGCCAATCAAAACTAAACGTTAAAGATGCACGAATACATAAACCCATAAACATTAACATTAAGTTAAACTCTGGATGCATGCGATCGGTGCAATGTAGCAGATTGTATTTTTATATTTCTACAATGTTTTAGTGAAATGCAGGCGTGCTTTGGCTAAAGTGTTGTAATTAGTCATCTACCTGTATACCCTCCCGTGATAGCTGCCATTACCAGAGTAAGCAACAGTGGCGGATGTAGAAAATTTTACATGGGGGGGCAAAGGGGTGGCAAGAGGTCTTGGCAGGGTGGCAGGGATGACGGTACAAAGGAATCCCTATATGTGAATTGCTTTAACAAAACAAACACAGAAACACTTTTAAACTTAAGGTTTTTAATTCACAACATGAATTAAACATTGTTCAAACAAAACAAAGCTGCAGCTTTTAAAAAGTAAATTATTACTTTGTCTCAAGTCATATTTATCTGAGCCCTTACTGTCTAACAGGGGGCCTCGGACATATCAAAATTGAATAAAGTGATCAAACAACCTGCACTGCATAAGTTATTCATTAAATATAGACTAATCATTATTTAAGCTACAGCAGTTCTTTAGTCAAGAGCAGTGAGAAATGTTGTTTTTGTTCTTTGATTAGCTTACTGACAGAAAGCTTTAGTGGCCGCGGTCTCTTTAAGAACAGCTGACAGAGACGCAGATCTCACGCGCCTCATTCTGTCACAACTCTTCACGTTCACCGTGAGACTGCTGCTCTTATGTTATGGAAAAGACACTCAACAAATGGACATTTTGGCATAATTGTGTGTGTTATTGTAAGTTCAAGCAAGAAAGAGAACTGTATTTTGGCACGCCGCTGTCCGTGTGTGCACAATGCGCAAGTGTTGCGGAAGAACACTGTAGCCGGAGCTACTTCACTCAGTTAATGTCTATGGCGAATCACGCAGGCGCGGGATACCTCCGCCGCAGCCGAGCCGAATATAAACACTTATTATAGGCGTACCGCAGTGATTCAGGTTAAGTACAAAAACGCTTTGGAAAATGGATTCATGATGTACTCATTCATTCTGAACATAAGTTACAAACTGCAGCAGCTGCTGACTTACATGACAAAGCACTCGCACAATTAGGGTTGCCCCCCCCTCTGCATCTCATGGGGGGTTAAGTCTCGACACCAAAACGCTTTCTTTGCGTCGTCGGTAACTGCTTTCCCCCGTGGCCTTTTGGCTTCCCAGTCCGTTTTGTAATTGCACAATCTTTTTGTCTTTGCAGCGCCAGCCTCACTGCTCACTTTAACACGTAGGACCGCTCTCACCTCGCATGCTCCGCTCCGGCCACCCGGCACCCGCGACTTAGGAGGCTGTGTATTGTGCGGCACAATACAAATGCGACCACGTACCATTTTAACTAGCACATTCTCAAAAAAGGGCTGTTCTTGTCTTTACTAAAATCAAAATTAGGCCAATCAAAGGGAAGGGTGCTCGTACAAATCACAAGGGAGTGGGGACCGATAACTTATGACCACTGATTTTGGCTAACGTAATAGACTCGCTGTTTTTGCTGATGCTGAATCGTCTTTCATACAATACATTCATTACAAATGTAACTAAGTTAAACTTATGTTTAAACTACACCTGATGAAATTCCCTTCACCTCCAGAGGCTCTGGGGCAGCTCAGTCTCTCCAGTCGGGTTACAGGACCAGCGCACCTTCCGCACCAGACTCGCTGTGTTTGAATCAGGGACGAAGCATTTGAGGGGCAGGGGAGGGGGGGTAGTAATTAAATTGTTTACTTTTGGTAAATGTATTGTTTAGTTCACTGTTTTGAGAAGCTTGTGTGGACATAATGGCGGGTTGGTTTTTTATTTTATTTGGTTTTATCAAAGTTAGGGGAGCAGCTGGGGGGGGCAAGGCTCTAAAGTGGGGGGGCAGCTGCCCCCCTGTAGATCCGTCCCTGGTTAGCAACCCCAACGTCAGAATATTCATGATAGCGACAACAGCATTGCCACCAATGAGATATTCAATGGCGTGATTGAGTTAAAACACAGCATTGTTGAGCGAAAGCCTTGTGTTACGTACCAACGTCTTCGCCGCCTTAAGAGTGACACCGGGTCCATTTGAAAAAGCTAAACCGAGCATACAAAGCGGGGAGAAGCGATGGCTCTTTGTTAGCTCGCTAACCAGCCGCGCTAGCACAGAGCTAGTTAGCCGGCGTTAGCTAGTGTTTAACCCGGGACATGTTAACCGACGATAAACGCTTTCCACGTCATGTCCCCTCTGAAATATATCCCGCTCCCCGCAAATAAGCGTAACGTTACAGTCGGCCAACGTCACCGATTCAATTAACGCGAGTTCTCTGTAACCATTATCAATGGACAGTTAACGTTAACGTAACATATCCAACGTTACAACTTAAACCGTATCCGCGGCCGGTTTCCACCCGAGTGAGTAACGTTACATGCCGTGCTAACGCGCCGGTAGGAGAACCCACCGGGCGATGACGAATAGCGCCGCACTGCTAGCCAGCTAGCCGGCTAACGCTAGACGGGCAGGCCTCCCCGACGGCCTAAGAAGATGGACCCACCTCCCGGCTGCCTCCATTCAATGTAGCGTTACCCGACACGTTAACGCCGAACCAGCCCTTCGGCCGTTGTTGTTGTTGTTGTTGTTGGGCCCGTTCCAAACGCACTCGCATTAGCTGGTTCAAACGGGGTGCTGTTCGAGGCCGCGCGGTCACGCTTTCTGTGTGGAATGTGTACCTGTTTCCTGGCTACGCTGGGTGGCAGACAGCGACCTACCTCAATATCGTATCCACAACACACACAAAAAAAGAAGGTCATCGGCGTTGAAATCGTGGTCACAACGTTAATCCACCTTCGCGCGTGTAGCGGAGAATGCGCGCACGCCGCCCTTCGACGTCAGGCGGATACATGAACCATTAGTGACGTTAAAAGTTGCGATTTCTGTGCCCACTCTCAAGCGGCGCAGTTGCTACATATTGACGAAGAAACGGGTTTTTCCAAAGGCGCCTGCGCCAGTAAATAATGACATCATAACAAAACACAACCTTCATGCTGTCGGTTTGAATCTAATTTCCCTGTGACGATGGCGCGATGTATGCACACAATCAAAAGCCACGTGGAATCAAATCAAGAGCCATTTGTAGATCGGATGAAAAATCACCAACTCTAAATGTTGTGCAGTGTGAATTTATTTAAATCCATTTGGTATGTGTTCATCTTTTATTTTATTGCAACCGATATATCTTCAGTTGGAATAAAACTAGCCAGCACAAAACATTTAACAAAATAGATAATCAGTTGCAAATGGCTTTTTGTGAATAGGGCGAATGGCTTCCACCAAAATAATACATACAATTAATTTTTCATCTAATTGAAATATCCCAGTGAGCACAAGACGTAATTTCAACGTTGAAATATGGTTGAAATCGGGTTGGAATGAGGTCTGAACGTCTAAGACCTCATTTCAACGTCTTTTCAACCGGCTAAAAATGGGATAAAACATCAACGTGCCAGAAAACATCAATTTGTTGATAAATGTGTCATGATGTAACGTAAGGTTGAAAGATAGACGATATTAACGTTAAGATTTTCATAATAATTAATGAACTGGTCGGCGAAATTTGGTCTACGCGAAGACGTAATTTCAACGTATTTAATATTTCACTTAAAACGTTATAAATATGAAACTACGGACTGCGTGCTGTTAATAAGATGCGTTTAAGGCATAATAATGCGGGCAGGTTCAAACATTACTTGTAAACACGTGACTCCGCTCACATCTGTAACGCGCATGCGCGAGTTCTTAGACGCCTGCAGAGCTCCGAGCGGACGAGGCGAAGTTACGGCAGCGGAGCGACATGAACGGGCTGATAGAACCACGACTACCGGCTCCACTACTCTGTAAGTACGGGAGTGTTAGGATGAAGCACACATGGAACTATAACCGGGTGTTTTACTTGTGCTGCCGACTCGATACGGGAAAGACGGCCCTTTTTGTTAAGCTAGTTAGCGTTAGCGCAGGTAGTTTGCTAGTTAGCATGCTAGCGTGCAGCATGATGACCTGGACCAAAAGTAAACATCCCAGAATATTTTTCGTGTATTTGGTGTTACTAATGCGTTAGGTTGTTGCTGTACCCATAAATGTTATTGCATTTCACACTGAAGATACGTTTTTAAAGCAATGGGGGCTAAATACAGATTGCAAGGGTGAAGGGCTGAATTCAACAAGTTGTGCTCTGTAAACAAGAGGGCCAACACATTATAAGTTACTGCTGCTTAAAGCATGATACTGTGTAATATACCTGGACATGTTACTCCAGAAATACCATAAGTTGCAGATTGATTGTTATCTTGTTGATAATGTAATAAGTAAACCATCTATAAATGAGTGTTCTAACACACCTGCTGCTGTTATTATTATTAGTTTATTACTGTCATCATAAACCCAAATGACCAACTTTGCCGTTGTGCTTCCCTCCTCACAGGTTTCTGCGGGTGGTGGTTGCATCTGATGGAGGTTACGTCTGATGATGGTTGTCCCTGCACTGGTCCTGCCTTACCCCTGGCTTAGTAATCCACAATATTAGAATCATTTCTGTCGTAGGAATTGGATGTACTGTACATCTTTAAATTGTTCATACTCTACACACCTTCGGCCTTGCTGTTTTCTCCTCAGGTTTCTCCCGGATGAAGGTTTTTTACATTTTGGGGGTTTTGGGACAGGATGTTGCATGTTTACAGATTGCAAAGATGAACAAAATAAAATGATTTGAATTGAATAAACACGTTGACCAGAGAAATCTGCAATTGAGGGCTGTTCTCTGCACTCTGACTCCCTTTACACAAAGAATCCTCAAGTGAGGATGAGGGAGATGCAGCTGATTTCAGGTATACTATCCCAACTCAAGTGACCCAGACCCACATCTTGTTACAGAATCTAAAAATGAAGTTCAAATGATTCAGAAAAATGGTCTACAAACACAGAATTGTTGTTGTTGAACACAGAAATGTTGTTTCTGCACTTTTAAATCCATAGTTAATTTCCCTGAAATATATATTTTATTTTTGTATTTTTAATTAGGAAAAGTGTTATATGTATAGTGTTATATTTATAATAAATGCAAATTAATAAAATAATGTGTTTGTCCTTGTTAAGGGCTGTTAACATGACAACTGTGACTAAGTATGTAACTTGTAAGTTTCCAGCGAGCAATTTATCCGTTGAAACAACGTTTAAAAGACGTCTATGGCCCGACGTTGAAAAGACGTCTATGGCCCGACGTTTAAAAGACGTCTATGGCCCGACGTTGAAAAGACGTTGCAAATTGGTTCAAAAGTGAAAGTTGTTTCAACGTCTATTCATAGACGTTGAAAAGACGTTTACGTTTAGACCACATTTCAACCAGCGAGCATTTCAACGTTGAAAAGACGTTTAAAAGACGTCTATGGCCGACGTTGAAAACGCGTTGCAAAATGGTTTAAAAGTGAAAGTTGTTTCAACGTCTATTCGTAGACGTTGAAAAGACGTTCGCGTATAGACCCGTTTTCAACGTGATTTATAATATCGGTGGTAAACTTACAAATGTGGACGTAGTTTCTTTTTAAACCTCTAAAATAATGATATAGCACACAAGAGAAGACGAAATATTACCGTATTAAAAAATCACGTTGAAATGTGGTCTAAACATAGACGTCTTTTCAACGTCTACGAATAGACGTTGAAACAACTTTCACTTTTAAACCATTTTGCAACGTCTTTTCAACGTCGGGCATAGACGTCTTTTAAACGCCTTTTCAACCAAAAAATACTGACTGGGATAACGCCATTCCGTTGTTTGATATAACATAATGATGTAATTTTTTTAATGTATCGATTTTGCTTGATTTCTTCTGTGAAATAATGTGTTGTTAAAGTTTTTGAACAATCAGACAGATCATTATACTTTTGAAGCAACCATTTTGGAAACAGAATTCTTCCTGCAGGTAAACACTGCCCCCTGTTTGGCGTGTTTTAATTATACATGCCTGGTCTACTTGTATGCGATATTCACACAAATGAAAAACTCACTGCGGTGCACAATTTCCCAAAACCATGTTACGGATGTACCCAGTGAGCATTTTTTGGTTGAAAAGACGTTTAAAAGACGTCTATGCTCGACGTTGAAAAGACGTTGCAAAATGGTTTAAAAGTGAAAGTTGTTTCAACGTCTATTCGTAGACGTTGAAAAGACGTCTATGTTTAGACCACATTTCAACGTGATTTTTTAATACGGTAATATTTCGTCCTCTCTTGTGTGCTATATCATTATTTTAGATGTTTAAAAAGAAACTACGTCCACATTTGTAAGTTTACCACCGATATTATAAATCACGTTGAAAACGGGTCTATACGCGAAAGTTGTTTCAACGTCTACGAATAGACGTTGAAACAACTTTCACTTTTAAACCATTTTGCAACGTCTTTTCAACGTCGGGCCATAGACGTCTTTTAAACGTCTTTTCAACGTTGAAATGCTCACTGGGGAGGTCCGTATGGTTTTTGTTTTAGATAAAAAGTAAAGCTGTAGACAAAAACAACCAAGAACGGTGTAATTCGGAAAACCACCTCCATACGAGGGTAGAAAAAAAAAGGTGAGTGATTCTCAACCAACAAGCCTGCTGCTGCAGAGCCTTTTTTAAGCTCTCCAAGCTATTACTACAATTTTGATTTAAAAATAGTATAATTGTAGACATGCATTGAAGAAAGAAAAAGAAGATTTAAAGTCTTTACAGCCACAACGGCTAGAATAAGCGCAATAAATCTCTGTTGAAGCAGTGAGGGTTTTATGGGAGTAAAAAGGTCACAGCAGTGAGAAGATGTGTGGGAGCAACGGTGGAGGCCAATAAGGCTGGACGAAGGTTTTATACCTCCTCACTTTAAGAAGCACACACACATACTGTTGAATTTGAAGTTAATCCTGAGTGCCATCATTTAGTGATATTATTAGGTTTATGCATCTTTCTTGAATACCATGATATATAAAGAATAAAGAGGATGAATGGTCCTTTTGCTTTTCAGTTTAGAAGAATAAGCTCATCATTACTGGGCTGTCAAAGGTCTGCCAAAAACTTTTACATGAACAAGCGGGTTGTAGAGGGGATTTTATGAAATCAACTAACAGGTTGATAAGACATTGCAACTTTTAGTTTCGCTGAACTACTTTCTTTTTAAGTGTAACACTTGAATCAAGGATTTACAATATGATGAAAAATTATTTGAACAAATAGAAATAAACATGAAAACAAATTGAGCAGCAAGAAATACATTTGTTTCAGGGAAAAACACAGCGCACCTATGTGGACGAATGTAAGGAAACATGGGTGAAACACACAGGTCATCACCCAGGCACTGCGGGAGTGCAAGGGGAATGGTTTAGACAGGCGGTACTGGAGGGCGTACCAGAGAGTGTGAAAGCTAAAATGATGACTAACCCAGACCTGCCAGGTAGTGACTTTGCTGTGAGGGAGAGACATTTGCTACACCATTTACAAGACGCGATAGAAGAAGCGGCAGGGGAAGATAAACAGTTAAAGGAGCTGCAGGCTCAACCGCTGAAGCTCCAGCTCACCAAAGTAAGACAGGAAGTGAGTGACAAGAAGCAGAAAGGGAAAGACAAGTAATAGATGGTTGCACAGGCTGCCCCAGCTGGAGGTAACGCCCCTGATTTGTATCCACTCCCACCATGGGAGGAGACGTCGTATGGGACAGCCCAAGGGGGTGGTTACAGGGGAGGCTATGGAGGTAACCGCTGGGGAGGAGCGTGTTGAGGAGGTCCATACGCAGGGGGAGGAGGAAGAGGCGGACGCAGATGGGGAAGAGGTTGTTTCCACTGTGGTATGGAGGGGCACCAGGTTAAGGAGTGTCCTGGTAAAGGAAGACAGGGGAGGGGTAGAGGTGTCCCACCCCAAGAGGCATGGGCTCCCAACGCACATGCTGCACCGCCCCCTGGAGGACAGTACCCCACACCGGAGGACTGGGGCTATGAGGCAGATGCCTCTCAGTGACACACCCCCGAGAGAGACCTGGACAGCAGGGCAGACCCCATGCTGTCACTCACGGTACTACAACAACAATTGCCGTTTCTCGTTGACACTGGGGCCACATCCTCCACCATACAGGCAGCGGGCTCGTCTGCTATGTCCAGAGATACCGTCAGCGTTGTGGGGTTCTCCGGGGTGTCACAGAAACTGCCTCTAACAGTCCTCCTACTGGTGAAAGTGGGAAATCGGACAGTGACTCATTCTTTTGTTGTTTCGCCTCAAGTTCCAGTGAATCTTATGGGAAGGGATCTTCTCATTAAGACGGGGGCTTCGATCTTGTGCAGCCCGGACGGACTAAGCGTCACCATGATGGATGGAACGGTTCTGCATTGCAATGACAATGGACAAACGAGTGGTCAGTGGGTGGTGCAGCCACTGCAGCAACAACAACAATATGCAGACATTTATTGGGGCCTCTTGAAGCCTGAGTGTTCCAGGGGTTATGACTCTTTACCAAGTGGAAGCCTTGGATAACTCTTCTTGATCCGTATGTTCCTTCTACAGATCCTCCTCATGTAACATTGTTTTATGATAGACAAGGGGATGAGTGCTATTGTGACGAATTCATGGAACGTTTAGGAAACACGGAATGGGAGGGGACGTTCCAAAACCTCTATGTGGGCCCGGAAGGGGTAACCTCAGCTGTCATCCTCTCCTCCGATCAATCGAAATGGTATTTGATGAATCAAGATGCAGCACCGCATGTGTCGTTGGCTCTGCATCCCAAACATCAGGCTAAAGACTTAGGTCTAATGACGAAACGGCCGATGCTGCTAGACGACTGGGTATGCACTCAACTGCCTGATGTTTGTTTTTCTCCCTCCCCTTGAAAGTACAGAATTACAGGGAAAGCAACTACCTCTGTCATTTTAACACACGAACAGGTGTCCAGAGACCACGGACGCAAAAAGACCGACCATCCCTGCACAGCAACCCTTCTTGAGAAACTTCCAGACTACCTCTGGTCAGAAGGTCTGACTGACGTAGGTTTTTGTAATGCATGTAAACCAGTGACGTTTGAAGTTCATGACGGTCCTCCCAAACCCCAATACCCTCACAAGCCGGCCGCAGCAGAAGGGATCAAAGAAACTATCAAGGGCCTCATTAAATCAGGTGTATTGGAGCCCTCACAGTCCGCCTGGAACACGGAACAGACAGCTACGTTATACTCGGCTACCATAAGGGTTCGCGCTTTCGCCAGGTATCTTTAACCAAGTGTTGAAACAAGCGTTAACAGGGTGCTCACTGCCAGAGGGCATGACATTGATCCAAAATGTGGACGACATCCTCCTCGCATCCACTTCAGCGGAATCCTGTTTGGAGGCAACAGACATCGTCCTACGCCGGTTGGCCGAAACAGGTTTTAAGGTCAGTAAGTCTAAGTTGCAGGTCGCCAGAAGACAGGTTTCATTTTTAGGTAGAATACTGTCGGGAAGCGGCTCAGGGCTCAGTATTCTCCATCATCCACGTCCACAAAACGTAAAAGAAATGCTTTCGTTTTTGGGCCTCACAGGGTTCAGTAGACAATTCATTCCGCGCTATTCAAATCTCACTCAAGTTCTGCGTGCAAAGGTGAACGAGAAAGGGATGCGAAATCTCACTGCTAATCTCGAATGGGACCGAGGGGCGGTGGAGGCGTTTATCAAGCTAAAAACGGAACTGGCACAGGCCGCGGACCTCCCAGTACCTGATTACAGCGCACCGTTTTACCTGGATGTTTCCGAAACAACAGGGGTTGTTAATGGGGTTTTGTTTCAGAAAAAGGGGGGTGGTAAAAGGAAGGTGCTTCTGTATAACAGTGTCATGTTGGATAACATGGAAAAACAACATCATGAATGCACACAACACGCAGCAGGGGTCGCAAAGCTTGTAATGAAAATAGCACACCACTGATTGGCAATTGTTCAGTGATGGCAGCTGCTTTAGACAATCCACAGATGGGGTTGCAGTCGGGATACGTGGTAGTCAGAAGCCATGGGGCAGTGACAGAGATTCTGGAAGCAGAAAGGATTCAGGGAAGTCAGTCAGCTCAAAGAGCTGAGGTACTCGCATTGATAAGAGCATTACAGCTGGCAGAAGGGAAGGCAGTAAACATCTATACTGACTCGGCGTATGCAGTAGGAGCAGCTCATGTTGAGCTGGGACAGTGGTTAAGAGCAGGTTTTCTGACGGCTGGAGGAAAACCGATTGAACAGGAACAAGAAAATAAAGATTTGGCGGCAGCCTTGGCTCTACCGAGCACCGTGGCTATTATTAAGTGCAAAGGACACGAGAACTCCAACAGTATGGTGGCCAAAGGAAACCAGGCAGCGGACCAAGCTGCAAAACAGGCTGCAGGTTACCAAAGTGGGCTTCAAATGGTAAGTGCAGAAGATGAGGGACAGTCGGGGCCACAACTTAATGAGGAACGAATTAAGGAAGCCCAAAGGGGGGTGTCTCCTCAGGAGAAAACGGTGTGGAAGCAAAGAGGGGCTACAGAGGTTGGAGGCCTCTGGAGGTCCCCTGATGGTCGCCCAGTAATGCCGCCGGGCATCAGAAACCAGTGTTTACAGGAGGCACATGGGATGGCTCATGTGGAGCTGAAACACGCGTTTGGTACAGTATATCATCCACAATCTCATGGCAAAGTAGAACACATGAACCAAAACTTGAAACAAAAATTGGCTAAAATCTGTGCACAGACAAATTTAACCTGGGTTCAAGCGCTCCCATTCGCATTGATGGCCAATAGAAGCTCAGTAAATCAAGGTACAGGTTTCAACCCGTATGAACTGACCAACGGGAGACAGTTCCCTGGATCCAGTGCTGGCCAGAAGCTTAGGCCCAACCCGGAAGCTCCACCAGGTGAGTATGCATGTCGTATAACGATCTACGAGCTCTTGTTTCAGATTTTGCGGACCAGGTGCGAGACAAAACAGGGGATCAGAACGCCCACAACCCCCAGACGGAAGCCTGGGTCCTCCTGAGGGTCATTAAGAGAAAGTGGTCGGAGTCGCGGTGGACAGGACCATACCAGGTGGAGGAGAGAACCTCACATGCAGCGAGGCTGAGAGGGAAAGGTGATACCTGGTACCACTGGAGCCAGTGCGCCACCGCAAAGGAACCAGCTCGCACTCTCCAGGACGTCCCGAAGGATCAGGAGCAAGAGGCGGCAACGGGCACCGGAGGGTCCCCAAACGCACTCTCAACGGGCAGTTGACCGACAGACACCCAGAGCATGGTGATCTGTGTCGACTGTCTACAACCAAGAAGACCAAGAATAAGTGTATAACTATCCTCTCCTCTGTTCTATCTTTCTCAATTCTCCGCATTAGTTTAGCAAAACAAAACAAGAACAAGACACAATCCCGTTATCGGCCTGGAAAGGAGGCAAGATGAGGTGGCTGATCCGGCAGACGTTCTCCAGCAGCTGGGGTGATCTCTGAAGAGATCAAAAGGGGGAATTGTGAGATGCATGTAGTGGTAAAATATGTTATAACATTGTTTTGTGCTAAAGCCGTGTCTCAAGTGTCCTGTATTTGACCCTGAAGTGCAAGGAGCAGCATGATACAAAATGTTGCTTTGCAGCTGCGCACTGAGAAGGGAGGACGGTTAACTCGATCTCGTAGAAGCTTCAAAACAAAGGACTCCTCTTCATGGCCTTGGTTCATATCTTATTCTGAGCTTTCGTTCCGGATCCACGTTTTTACTTTATGTCAATTAATAATGATTTGCAGCGGCCACTGAGGAGGATCTTGTGTGTGCGTGTGCTACCCTCAGCTTCACCTGGGTTCTTATCTCAACCTGCTTTGTAGCTTCTCGTAACTGGCACGGAGAATGTTCTTCACATGTGTATAAAAACTCAGCGTTTTCACTGCTCGGAGACGTCATTACGCCGAGCGCTGAGATACGTGCTGGTGTGTTGGACCTCCTGCCTATAGGCAATAGTTAGAGCCAGATATCTGTGGAGAATTGCTCATGTAATCTTTTTCTCTTCTAAATAAATGTTAACGTTTCAACTTTAACTGATCAATGTGCTGCGATTCTTCTCATCAACCAACTCGGGGGGATTGGAGATCCTGACAGTGTGAAGATATTGGAGATGTTCTACCAGTCTATTGTTGACAGTCCACCGTACTTCCCTCTTGCAAAGGAAGCAACATTGAAGCCGGAGACACCAAACAGATTTCACAAACTGTCCCTCTAGTTGGATGTTAAACTGCATTTCGTTGCCTCAGTACTTGTACCCTGTGCAATGACAATAAAGTTGAATCTAATCTAATCTAATCTAAACTGGTTAAGGGCGACAGGCTTCATCATTGGATTAAAACTGGACAGTTTGAAAAAGGTGGTGGAGAGGGGACACTGGAGAAAGGATAATTCATACCCAGATCAGCCTTTCCACCTGACATCCGAGCACTTTTCCCAACAGACACATACATTTCACAAGGACAGATACATGAGACTATTGCTGCCTACTGCAATAACAATCACTTCTGGTAACAACTGTAAGACCATCACTGTTTTTCTCGGTTAGATCTTTGCACTATTTTTAAGTTAGTTCTTTTAATTTATATTAAAATATAAATTTCTATAAATAAATAAATAAAAATAAAATCTTAATTTATATTAAAATAACTAACCTGTGTGTGTACGTATACACCATTAGTTAAATCTTTCCATCTACATATTCTAAATAGTGCTAAACTGCATTTGTATCGCTGACTGTTCACCGAATGTCATTTAGTAAACTCCGTTGACCAAAATGTTGAATTCAAGCGTGGCGAGGGAGGCTCCCCGTGAACGCGCACCGGAGGCTTGACGTCACGGAGGCGCCCTGGCTCTCCAGAGCCGCTGGTGCTGCTGGCGACATGATGGGAAAACCAGATAGTCTTCAACTGAGTGATTAACGTTACTGAGTTTTCCCTGCCGGACTTTTCGTACGACAAAATGATTCACTATCGACAGCGATTTGAGCTCCACCAGGCGACGGCAGAGGTAACTTAGTTTCTTTCGAGAGGTTTTCATAATGGGTTATTGTGTTAGCGAGAAAGAAAAAAGGAAATCGAGGTGCTGGTTAAGCACAGCGGCTGGATGGACCGGCCCGTGTCACGGCGAGGTAAACGTATGCGGGTTTTACCTTTTCTTTCCCTCGTATATCACCTGGACGATGGGAGAAAGCCCGCGGCTTCGAATGAAAAGCCGTCCCGTTCAGTTGCAGGGAAATACGGATGTATGTGTGTGTGTGTCTCGGCAGTGAACCCCGCACGGCGTCGTTGGAATCGTGCAAAAAATGCTTTAGTGCCATCGTTTTACAATGCATTTAATGTGTGTGTGTGTTGTTTTCTGACGGATCATCATTTCTATATGCATTTAGTCTGACGAGCAGAACGATTTTTCTTCCCCCCTCTGACAATGTCCACCATGGACGATCCCCGTTCCCCTCCCTAGCTAACGTTTCAATCCGTCAGCGCATCGCTGGAGGGGAAAAAAATAATATTTGTAGCTTCAAGATGTATTCCCCAATGTGACATACGCAACCCACCACGAATGACAAAGGGACGGCGATAATTTGCCGGATAACGCGGGGAGTTGGAGCCGTAAAACGTCAGCTCGTTAGCCGGTGTGTCGAGGTAACCGTTAGCCGCTAGCAAGGCCGCGGCTCAGCCGTTAAACCGTCAGCGCTGAGATTCGGTGAAAAGCCGAGGACGAAACGGAGCGTAAGCTGCTCTCCTGTGAGCAGAGCCGCCTGAAGTCTGTGGACGTCTCGTGTTTCCAGCACTCTGTTCGCCTCAAACGGTCCGTCGGGGCTGACCGGAGGCTCGCGAGCTATAATGGCGATATAGGGATTTAACGGGGAACACCTGGGACACGGCGGCTCCAAACCCACAGGCTGCAGATGCACACGTACGAATACACGTTCGCCATCTCTGTTTGTCTTATTCATTTAAAACTGATGCTTCATGTATATCTACCGACAGGCAATTTATAGGGAACAACTGTGTCTTCTTTGCAGATTGGTGTGTAAGTTGTGAAGAGGAAAGTCTGACAGAAGATTGTCCGTCACTCCCTGCGGCTCCAGTTGAAGCGGGATCACCACCACAAATTCACACAGTAACCAATCTATCAACGATACAAAGGTACTTGGGAGTTTTACTGCTGCCACCCTTCTCCTACGTAGCAGAAGATGTACGGTAGTGCCCGCTCGGTTGGCAGAGGGGATGCCAACCATAGTGGCGGCAGAGATGGAAGTGGTCCCGGCAATCAGGGATCCGGCCGTTCCCCTCGCCTACCCCGTTCTCCTCGAATGGGACACCGCCGCAGCAACAGCACCGGAGGCAGTGGAGGCGGTCCGGGAGGAGCGGGAGGCAAAACTCTCTCCATGGAGAACATCCAGTCCCTCAACGCGGCGTATGCCACCTCAGGACCAATGTACCTGAGCGACAACGAGGTGGCCATGGCCGACTACGTTCCCAAAAGTGGTGGGACGATGACGACCATGGGGAGACAGCGGGTGACGTACGGCTCAAGGGCCACCAACAGTGCAGTTGTGGCCGCCAGCACGCCCAACATCTCCACCTCAGTGCCTGGCAATGCTGCGCTGTCAGCCGGCATTCTGGCGGGCGATGCGCTAGCTTTTGGGGACCACCACATGTCCTCCACTGTGCCTCACTCTCTAAGGCAGGCCAGAGATAACACCATACTGGACCTGCAGACTCAACTCAAAGAGGTATTTTTTTTCCCCTCCATGTTTGCGTATATTCTCGGATTTCAAACGTTTGACAAGCGCTTGACTTGCTTGGTTCAGTGGGCTACATTCACAGTATTTATGTGATATTTGTTAAACCCTGCTTTCTCAGATTCTGCGTGAGAATGAGATGCTGCGGCGAGAGGTGGAAGTTAAGCAGAGCAAGCTCAGCTCTTCCATGAATTCTATCAAGACCTTCTGGAGCCCAGAATTAAAAAAAGAGCGAGCTCTTAGGAAAGACGAGGTTTCCAAGATCACCGTCTGGAAGGAGCAATACCGTGTGATTCAAGATGAGGCACAGGTGAGTGTTCGCTTGTGTTTCTTCGAATAGATGTTTTCATCATCAAGCCATTATTCTGAATTTAAATGGAGTCATCATCCAGGCTGTGTCAAACATGTCTGATGGGAAGAATGTCTTTCATCCAGTGTGTCGGCTTTAGAACTAAAGTGTGTTTCTCTGCTTTTTGGCCAGTGCCGTATAAGCTTGAGGCAAGTTTTCTAAGATCTAGGTAATCCTCTTCTATGCAGCTATATCATTGTGCTCAATAGATGAAAGAGGCTGTAAGTCGAATGGCTGCGTTAGCCTTTCTATATGTTTCAGAACTGGCTTGATGTGGTGAACTGAATGACAATTTAAAGAAAGCGCTCATTTAAATCGTTTTGTCTAGTCGTTAAAGCACTGGAGTAGATAAGAAACCAATGTAAGAATATTGTCATAGGTAGCGGTAATATATGAGCTGTTGTGACTCATTTTTGATTGAGTATTTTGATTATGTGGCTTTCCAAAAATAATAATTATTAGCCTCTTTGAAATGATCATAGTGGTACATTTAGTTCAAATAGCCGATAACCAGAAAAGGATATTCTGCGGTCTATAAATGGAAATCCATCATCTTCGGAATTCCCACTCTGCCCTTTTCTCATAGGTTGTCAAAAAAATGAAGCGTCTCGCGACTGGAAGTATTGTAGAGTTGCATGTGTGCAATTCATCCAAATAGCTCTATGTCTGCTGTCAGGTGTGGAAACCAAACACCTTTATATGTATTTGTCAATTTTCACATGTTTTCCTCCTTGTTAAATGGAGATGGTGGCGTTGTAAACTCTGAGCTACTCAGCAGTCTGTTAACCTACATACATGTATACATTTTATATGCACACATGTGCAAGAAACATCAGTGAATATAAATAGACACATGGTCTATTTTTGAACCCTTTAGTGGGATTTGTGCAAATAAAGTCTAATTATTGAAGATAAATCCTCATTGTTTCTCTGTAATTCTTAATGACTGGGCAGATGTGTATAATTTGCTGCTTTCCCTCCTGCTGAGTCACATAATCACACTGTGGACTAATTCCCAGTAATGCCTGAGTAACGCAGTACTAATCAGTGGGTGCTGTAATTTAAAGATGTCTGCTTTCATATGTCTCCGTGAACGACTGCACCTCCCACGCTGGCACACGGAAAACACGTACGCACTCGTAAGGCCTTCGGCTAATTACAGCTGCGATTGAACTGCATGCCCCGTTGCTTGTAGGTCCAACCGCACGTGGCTTGGTCTGCAGTTTAATGTTCATGTGTGTTATTTATGATTCTGGGCTCGCTAGGCTGAGATGTGTGCTGGGCACAGCTTTTCTAACATCTCTACCATAAAGCATGTTGTCTAGTCCAGCTATACAGTTGTATAACTAAGCACCCTTTTTAACATTTTTGAATGGACAATTTTGTGGTGTTTTGCGAGCTGTGGCTCTGTGCCATGTGCACGGTTTCCTTATGACTCAAGTGTTGTGAAGTGTTTGGAACACTTTGGTTGGTGCTTCACATCTTGTACTCTTTGTGCTGCCTCAAACGTCTGACTGTTATCTCTCCTCAGGCAACGGCAGTCGGAATGTGGGCGCCGGGGGGAAGGTGTGTGCAGCGGTGTGGTCGCAGCAGTGAGTCAGCCATAGTCATGGGGTGGAGAGCCTGATGGAAAGGGAGGGTTTAGTGATTGGGGAGGTGAGAGTATTGGAGGGAAGAGTTGGACCGAGAAGCAAGGTAGATGAAAAGTGTTTGTGTGAGGAGGAGGACGAGGAGGAGCAGAATAAAGATTGGCGTTTGAGGGACGAGGAGAGATGAGTAAGGGAGGGGGCGTCAGGAGGAACAGGACGGCGAGAGAAACGAAGGCAGACACTGACTTCTCTCTTTGTTCTTTCCTCTGAAAAGCGCTCACAGCTGGTTCAGACCAGAGTGTAACGCAGCCTTGTGTCAACGTCTCCCGGCAGCTCTGCCAAGTGTCCGTGGCGTCAGATGCCACAAACAATGCAATACTATACTGGGCTGATTGTGTTTCACCACTTGTATTTCTCTGGTCATGAAATGGAACACTGTCCCAACTGTTGGGGCTGCATCTGTCGGGGCACTGCAGGGTTTTCATGATTATGGGCTGACTTTTAATCTGCAGTAACACAATATTGTGCCACAATCAAGGGTGATTCTGAGCAGCCTTCGCGTTGTACAATGGTTCAATAAAAGTGAATTCACCTCGTACCCTTTTGTGATCAAATTGTAATTAAGTCCAAAAAACATAAGTACAGGAGGTTAATAAATGTGTGTGTGCGCTGCTTGTTCCCAGCATCTCCAGATGACTGTTCAGGCTCTTCAGGATGAGATGAGGATCCAGAGGGACCTGAACCAGCTGCTCCAGCAAGACCCCGCCATCCATGGGCGGGACCTGGTCCTCACATCTGAACCCACAGAGGAGAACTACCGGCGGCTACATGCGGAGCACGAGAGGCAGGCCAAAGAGCTCTTCCTCCTTAGAAAGACCTTAGAGGAGATGGAGTTACGGATCGACACGCAGAAGCAAACCCTGGGAGCCAGAGACGAGTCCATCAAGAAACTTTTGGAGATGCTGCAGAGCAAAGGTGGGTTTATACCTCTGTGGAGACGTTTCCAACCAATTTATCCTTTTTAAAGTATCAACGTCTTGGTTGAAATTCAAAGCCAATGCTGAACCGTGCCAAGAAGCAGTTCTTCTGTTTGCTGATAGATTGCGATAAACCATTTAAGTCAACAGGAAAAGCGGTAAACAATTTAAACTTCTAAATGCTTTTCATCTCAGGCTTTCAACTTTCACAACTGGGTTTCTGTGGTCCATAAACTACCCACTATGCGTGCTTTAACCCAAGCATGCTTCTGACACCAGGAATATGAGGGCTTCATGTAAAAGCTACTGTATATATGGGTGTCCCCCAAGATAATGTCACGTCGTGGTTGTTGGTGGCCAAAATATCCGCGATAATGCATTGACAAACCCATACAGGAAACTCAAGTAAAAATAACTAAAACCAAAATTGGGTTATTGGGTTTATGTTTACTGTTGCTTTTTGAATCCAGTGTTTTTTATATCTCATCCCCTGCTGAACAGATGAGTTGGCTGTTACAAAATAGATGTCTTTCCACTTACTTCCTCATGGTAACCGGGCCGTTTGTACATCCTTCTCAGGACAATCTGCCAAGGCATCAGAGGAGGACCAGGAGCGGACCAGGAGACTGGCTGATGCAGAGATGCACAGGCATCACCTTGAGAGTTTACTGGACCAGAGAGACCGAGAGGTCAACACACTGAGAGAGGTACTGGTGACCTAATACCACATTGGGTTGGTCTAGTTTGGGGTTTTTTCCCCTCTTATTTATCCTCCGATATGAAACTGCCCATAAATGTTTTGCACACACATGTATCATGTTTTTCTTCATCCGACTCAATACGATACGAGGGAACCTCCGAGTCCACAAAAACTAAGGCTCTGCAGACTGTCATCGACATGAAGGTGAGGCTTAGAAAAGAATAGTGAATATGATCTATGTTTGCGTTATCTCACATATTTTTCAATGCATGTTAACCCCTCTTCACCAATGCCCAGGATGCAAAAATCAATTCGATGGAGCAAGGACTGAGAGACACGGAAGAGGAGCTGCTGCTGATGAAATCCAATGGACTTCTGAGCTGCGAGGAGCGGCAGGAGGAGATGAAGCAGATGGAGGTCTACCGCAGCCACATGAAATTCATGAAGAACAAGGTCTATGAGACCTTTTGTTCTCCTAATCGGATGCTTTTCCGCTAGAAGTTTCTTTCCTTTCCTCATGTCTATTCACCTATTTTCAGATGGAGCAGGTGAAGCAGGACCTGTCCAGGAAGGACACCGAGCTGCTTGGTTTGCAGACCAAGCTGGAGACGCTCACCAACCAGTTCTCAGACAGTAAGCAGCACATCGAGGTCCTCAAGGAGTCACTCACTGCCAAGGAGCAGCGAGCCGCCATCCTACAGACTGAGGTACACCCTGGGCTCTTCTTTAAATTTGGCCAGCTCGCTTTGGAATGAGTGTAAAACAACAGCCCTCTTAAGAGAAAAGGCTTCCGACTGCTGATATAAGAGTCTGCAAAGAAGCAGTTACCGAATGTTTTGCTAGTTTCTCTGCTTTTGAGCACTTTTGAGTGCGTAGCGCAGTTCCAGCCAGTGACTGTTGTCGACCATTCCCTGTACCAGGTGGATGCCTTGCGCTTGCGCTTGGAGGAGAAGGAGTCGACTCTGAATAAGAAGAGCAAGCAGATTCAAGAAGTCTCAGAAGAGAAGGGCACACTCAAAGGGGAGATCCACGACCTCAAAGACATGCTGGAGGTCAAGGAGCGCAAAGTCAACGTGCTGCAGAAAAAGGTGATTTGGACTAAAAACAGACATCTGGTGTTCTTGGCATTTACCCCGTGCACTCATGGGGTCACAGCGCGTGTCCTGTGGCTGATGATCATTTTGTGTTCGCTCTGCAGATCGAGAACCTGCAGGAGCAGCTGAGGGACAAGGAGAAGCAGATGAGCAGCCTGAAAGAGAGAGTGAAGTCTTTGCAGGCAGACACCTCAAACACTGACACTGCCCTCACCACACTAGAGGAGTCTCTTGCAGAAAAGGTTGAGTTCATGTCTGCACCTGCCGAATTGTATGCATGTTCATTCTGTATATTAAACGCGTGTCCGTTTTCTCTGCCTCCTGCCAGGAGCGCATTATTGAGCGTCTAAAAGAGCAGCGAGACCGAGACGACCGGGAGAAGACGGAGGAGATTGACAGTAACAAAAAGGAACTGAAAGAGTTGAAGGAGAAACTGAGCCTCCTGCAGGGGGACCTGTCAGACAGAGAGGTGAGCAACACCAGCACAGGCAACAAAGGCACTTGCTTACTGTGTTTCTATTAATATTGTGAGACATTGTAGTCTGTTTTTGCTGTTCATCTTACTTTGCTATGAGTCATACATGTCTGTATTGGATCCAATGTATTTTCAGTCTCCTCAGTCCCATTCTCTTAGAGTTGGAGAAGGCTCATCTATGCTCTTGTGTGGGTGTGTTTGTGCAGACGTCTTTGTTGGACCTGAAGGAGCATGCATCATCCCTGGCATCCTCCGGTCTGAAGAAGGACTCCAAACTCAAGAGCATGGAGATCGCCTTTGAACAGAAAAGGGAGGAGTGCCTCAAAGTGGAGAATCAGCTTAAGAGGGTGAGATCCTAAAATAATGAAATCGGCAGCCATGTGCTGGCTCAGCGCTACACGGCGCTAGCTAATGATTTATTAATACGATTGTGATACCGTCTGTAATCTAAGCCTTGCGTACGGTAACTGTAGTGAAAACCCCTGTGTGTTTGGCTGACATCCCGTCCTGTTGTAAGGCTCAAAACGCAGCCCTGGAAGCTCAGGCCAACACCGAGCTGCCAGAGCGCATTAAGAACCTCCAACAGGAAGTTGCCCGCCATAAAGAGGATTCTGGGAAGGCGCAGGCTGAGGTGGACCGCCTGCTGGAGATCCTTCGGGAAATGGAGAATGAGAAGAATGACAAGGACAAAAAAATCAATGAGCTGGAGAGGTGGGTGGAAACATGCACATTTCGGGTGCTCACAAAAATGTTAAAGATAACTGTTTAAAGCAGGTCAACTCAAAAGATGTGGACTTTGCGCCAAGGCTCAAGCTTTGCCTGTGATACTAAATTAAATAGTCATAATGTGTCAGCAAATGTGCCGCTGGTCTGATTGTTTGCCCGTGACATGAACGTTTAACGCGAACAGAACATTTTCTTTGTTGTGACTTTGTTCCAGGAGTTATGAATGATTTGAGTCTTTTGTGTTTGTTGCGCCGCGCGCGGCGGCTCCCTCCAATGACATCGTGACACTCTGGAAATTGTTGCCCTCAGCCCATTAAATGGCGTCTTTAAATGTAATTTATCCATCTGCCATTGTCGCCTCTTAGCTGTATTGCTTTGAAAGCGGATATGGCAAATGTTAGCTTGTTATTAGTGGAGCTGTTATAAAGCTGGTCGGTACGGCTGTAGTAGTTGGTAGTTTATAATCCACCTTTTTGCAATTTCTGTGGCTGCGTACGTGGTGAGTGATGAAGTCTCATGACTTGTCTGTGAGCCCTAATGCTTCCTTCTCTTTTCCTTAACATTGACTCATCTCCCTGCTCTTTTCTTTCTATTTACCACTTTCTTGTCTTTACACCGGAATCTCTCACCCCTCCAGCTTCATTCACCGCTTTTCTCTTTCACCCCCCTCTCCCCTCCCTGATATTGACTCTTTGCAGGGCTGTCTAAAATCTTGCCAAAGCTATGGTTGTAAATGTTATCTCAGTATTCTGAAATGAGGAGGCTTTTCGATCTCTTCTAAACATTCCACATAGATAATCATAGCTGTGGCAAAAAGCTTTGTTTTGAATCAGACAAATTAATTTGGTGCTTATCTGCACTTTTACCACAATATTTCCTTTTTTTTACCTTTTTCACCTCACCTTTAAATACAAATTGTATTTACATGTAAATTGGGAACACGTGGAAATTATACATAAAATAACATTTCTACTTCTGCGTATGTTTGGGTGCAGGCAGACCAAGGACCAGTCAAAGAAGGTGGCGTCTCTGAAGCACAAGGAGCAGATAGAGAAGAAGCACAAGGAGCAGGTAGAAAAGAATAGGAATGCTCGACTCGTGGACGAGGCCAGGAAGAGGGAGGACAATATGTCAGAGAGCTCCCACCTGGTGAAGGTGCATGCTTGTGGTTCTCTCTCATGGACCTTTCATCAGAACGAAAGTTTACCAGCACCGGCTCACTAATTCAATTTCCAACGAGCTGTAATGGGACCTCTCTCTACTCCGGATGTGTAGGACACTCTACGTCAGAAGTCTGAGCGCATAGAGGAGCTGGAGGAGGCCCTGCGAGAGAGCGTTCAGATCACTGCGGAGCGAGAGATGGTGCTGGCACAGGAGGAGGCTGCCAGGTCACTCCAGGAGAAACAGGTACACAACTGCTTTTCAACAAACGCACAAGAAACCAGTCACAATCAATCCACTAGTTCACGCATGCAGCACACGCATCGTGTAAAACTCTACATAAATAACAAATGCTTTCATATACTGCAATTCTTCCTCCCTCGTCCTTGTGCTACCATGGTGGTGTTTCTCATCCTTTCTTCGCCTCCGTCCTCTCCTACGGTCTCTGTCTCTTTCTCAGTTCTTTTATCTTTTGCTTTTTTGTTTTCTCTTGTTCTCTCTCTGCTTCACACTGCCTCTCAGAAGCACTCACTCAAACCAATGCATGAGTCCCAGCTCGCCCACTTTAAGTGGTCTACGGTATGAGCCCAGAATGTGTGACCTCCAATCACTGAGCAACAGCCCTTGAAGGGTGGACACAATAACAGAAACACCTTTACAATCCATGCAATGACACCACGATCCTGCCATATATTCATTTGGAAAGTGTCCTTTTTGGGGAATTTGTGTTTGATGTCAGATTGCATTATTTTGCAAGGTGTTGCTGGTTTCAGCTGGTGTAATTGTCATGTTATTTTGTTTACCTGCTGTTTGTTTATGAAACATCCCAAACCTGATTAATTGGCTGTCTCACACGTCAAGTAGCCAATAGAATTTATCACATGGGAATGAACTTGATTATAATTAAAGCACGTATTAATAATAGTGGTACTTGTGCCCTTTTTTTTAAATGAATAACAGGTAAATGAAATGTTGTGCTGTAGTTTGATGGTATGTGTGCTAGTTGATCCCTAGTCCTTACCAAAAGCCCACATGATATGGACACACAAGGGTTCTTTGCTTGTGAAAAAACACTTTCCTTTCACTGATTTAAGTAATTGCTTTTACTCTATTCATGATTTGAATTGTGTGTGTGTTCCTAGATGGAGGAGCTGCTGGGGGCCATGGAGAAAGTGAAGCAGGAGCTGGAGTCCATGCAGGCCAAGCTGTCCTCCACCCAGCAGTCTCTTTGTGAGAAAGAGGCACACCTGTCAACGCTGCGAGCGGAGCGCAGGAAACACCTGGAGGAGGTGCTGGAGATGAAGTAAGAGTACACACACACATACACAGAAGGGTGCATTGGACTCTGGCGTATTGATTGCTGCCTTCATCTTGTAAAATGTCATCCTATTCCAGACTTGCCCAGCTGGCAGGATGATTTTCTGCAATAAATAATAAATGATAATTGAGCTTGTTACGCTTGTGGTTAAATGTCATGTTTGTCTCCTCCCCACCTAACAGGCAGGAGGCGCTGCTGGCCGCAATCAGCGAGAAGGACGCTAACATTGCCCTGCTGGAGTTGTCCTCTTCTAAGAAGAAGAAGACCCAGGATGAGGTGTCTCTGCTGAAAAGGGAGAAGGACAGATTGGTGCAGCAGCTCAAGCAGCAGGTGAGGAGGTGGCTGCTGGATATCCGTGGAGGGGAAAGCACGATTGAAATGTTCCAATAGTTCTGGGAGCCTCAGCGGGATTGCACACAGCCATGTTCATTGTTTTAACTCCTACACCTCTCACACAGAATATGTTGACGAGTGGGGAATAAAAGTCAGGACGAACAAAAAGCCGTGTCCAAAGTAAATGAAATGATTGGAAACTGTCTTTTTCAGTAACAATAGTTTTTGTTTCCATCAGGCACACCATTTACTTTAAGGTCGCATGAGGATTGTCACACTGAGAAGTAACTTTTCCAGGGAATGGAACGGACAAATGCTCAGTCTTTGAAGTTAATTGTCGCTCCCCCACCCCCGTCAGCTGCGGTGTTGTACATGCTGACACCGTGTCACCCTGTGATGTCTTGGTGGCCAATAGCCAGGCCTGCTTGTTTATGAGTGCCCCTTCCGCTGTGTTTCTATATTCTCACTGTTTCTATTTCACAGACTCAGAACAGAATGAAACTGATGGCAGATAACTATGAGGATGACCATCTGAAGACCGCTCCTGACCAGTCAAATCACAAGCCCTCTCCTGATCAGGTAGCTTACCCCTCCAAACGGTCCCCTTTCCATATCGCCCTCAGCTGCTTCTCTGAAATGTCCATGACATGGTAACAACATAATGTCTGTTGAGGAGAAGCCTGATCTGATGCCTTCAATCTAAAGGGAACAAAGATTTTTTTGCTTAACTTTTCTGTCCATATATACGTACACTAACCAAATGTTCCTTTGTAATGCTGCGATTGGCTCACCTCGTGGCTAACAGGATGATGAGGAGGGTATTTGGGCGTAGCCAACCTTTAGCCCTCCCCTCTCTCTGACTCTCTGTCTCAGCCATATTGTTCAGAAGGGTGAGCTCGTATGAAAAGTCCGACCTGTTGACCTCTTGCTCTGTGGCATGCTCACCCTGTCTTCCTTTCTTTTTGCCGTACGCCTTTCTTCTGTTCATGTTGATGGTGTTGATCATTGCCTGTGTTTTCTGTGAGAGCACGTCTCGCCACTCATCCGGTGTTCATTCGTTGCTTCTCAGTGGTTTGTGTGTTTCGGTTGAGCAATGCCCGTTTGCATGCCCAAGCTAAGAGGATGAGATATTTTATCCCTGGTCTGTTTCATTGTCTTAAACTAAAGCCTCTTTGCTTTCCATGTCACTGATGATTAGCTCCTTGGATATTGACCTCCACCAACAGGAGCTAACTAGTTTTAACTCGCCTAATATATATCATTTTGTAAATAGCTTTGTAAGGACATTAATATACTAGGCAATAGAAATCTAGAGAACAAAGCACCCAAGGTGCTTCGTATACACATGCATGCAGATGACCATATATATATTTCATGCTAGTGTGGTCTGGAGCTTTAGTCTTTCATTCTGTTCATGAATTCAACAAGAGCTTATGTGTATTACTATTTCTACATCCCCCTTTTTTCTTTTTATTTCCCACACTGCCTCTCACTCTTGTCCCTTTTCGTCCCCCCCGGGCAGATGATACCCCCTCTTCTGGCCCTGTCCCAGAACCGCAGTAAACTCAAGCTCTACATCGCCCACCTGACTGACCTCTGCCACGACCGTGACCCCGGCATCCTCAGCAAGCTCACGCCGCCCTCTCACTACCACCACAGCGACCCCGAAGACTGGGAGGAGGAGCTCCAGAAGATGAGTGTCCAACAGGTAGAGGAGGAACCGCGCTATTCATATCTGCATTGTCCTTTGTAGCTTCTGGAGGGTAGAAATGGCCGTTGTATTGGCACATCAAAGGCCCAGGAGAGCAGTTTAGTTTTTGAGCAGCTTGATTATAAATTTATGAGCATCTTTGAGATAATCGGGTAAGTTAATTTCTAATTTTTTTGTCATAGCTGATGAAACAACTCTAGGTTGTTGAATCTTTGAATAAAAAATTAATTTTGGAATTAAATGGGGTTACAATGCTGTTTTTTAATCTGCGTGGTGATGCAGTCCCTTTATCAATACTCTATTAGGGATTGGGCCTTATTAAGGGAGGGGTCCCGTTGCCTGGGTCAAAGACGCGGAGTGGTTCTGGCAGTGGCCTGAACCATTGCAGAGCTGGTCCCACTTGATCCTGGTAAGCAAGAACAAAATTCAAGGAATTGCTGCAATAGGCGCACGGTGAGTAGATTCAGTGCTTGCACATACCTGTGGAGCAGCTACTGAGGGTGGGCATGGATGGGGAGGATCTGAGCTGCTTTAGGAGGACTGCTCGCTGTTTGAGACGCCTCGGCTGCGGTTTCTGAGGCCTCTATGATGGGGGGAATTTTGTTTTGGAGGAGATGCTAGACCATGAAGATCTGAGCTGAGGACGGGGATCCTGAACGTAAGCAGAAGACACAAAAGCATGTAAACATTACGTAGGAACATTTTAACTGCTTTAACAACGGATTGCAGCACTGACATCATAGAGAGGATTCACTTTATCTGAGTGTCCTTACCGAGTGTTGGGACTGGGTTGGCCGCTACGCGGGAAGATTTGCTTTTGCTTTTTGCCTTCGTCGACTTCCACCCATCACCATAGCTGGAGAGAAGACAGTAGTCGGGGGAGGTTTTCCATCATCGAATATAGGGCGTCTACCTCCTCTTCTGACGAGTCTGCAATGTCTGGATCTCTGTCATATGCCTGCGAGAGCGGGTTGAGACATTCAGTCATGATAAACATATTTCCATAGAGCTGTGATTTACACTAACACAGGAAGTGGAGGAAGCGTGAAGGAGATTGCAAACATGTGGCTACTTTTCTCTAAGACGGCTGATTTCTTTCTGCAAAGCCCCGCCCTCGGTCTCCGAGTCGTTGTTGTCACTACTGTAAAGGTGTGTGCATTATGAGGATCGGAGGGTCCGTTCTGCATACTGGAACCATGCGGACTGGAGCCTTCCTGCTGGAGCTGAGGTCACTGCGGGAATGTGTACACATGAGTTGTTAAGGATAACGTGTGCCCGGGGACCTCGCATGCTTTAATAATGTACACAACAACATTTGGTGCTTTTGTTTTAATGCACGAGTCGTGCATTAACATAATGGACTGAAAATCTCAGTAGCTAAGAAGTCTACTGAATATGCAAAAATGATCCAAGCTCTAAATAATATAACTCGCTGCAGCCTCCGACACTGGGATTAATAAAGAATGTGACATAGGCACAGGTAAAGCATTTACAGCTCATATCATGAAACCCATCGACAAAAGCAATAGCTGTGATAATTGATTCTTAAAATAATAATAATAATAATAATATTAATAAGATTCACATCAGCCCTGCACAGTTACAGAACAGCATACTATTAGTAAGGTGGGTTTACTAGTAGTATGTAGTACTATTTTAAATCAAAGCAAGCTTGATTTGCTGAACTTTGAACCCAATACGTGCCTGTGACAGAGAAAGCGGCCCACTTTAGAACCAGGGGTCGGCTCAGAGTCATGTTGGTGCTCTGGACACTTGGAAGCGCCCAATAGTGGTCGGCCGACCAGCAGGCGCAGCGGACAGGGGGAAGGCTCCATTCCCAGAGTCAGTCTCACAGATACTTTGGACAGGGAGGATGACCGGTGGAGGGTATTTTCTGGACTTGAGAGGGAGGAGGAGGATGATGAGGAAGAGGAGGAGGTAAGACGGCGTGAGGGAAGCAGAGAGAAACTATGCTGGTGGGATCTTTAACACAGCTGGACCAAGGTCAGTAGCAACAGACACCTGGAAAAGAGGGGGAGAACATATTAATGACCAAGGAGCTCCAGAGATTCAAGAGACTGAATCAACCGGCTGCATTTTAGGCCGAGACTTCAAACTTACTTGGAAACGTCCCAGAGTGAAACCTGCGGCTGGAGGCTGGATTAGATTACCTTCCTGACCGTCTCTGGGGCTCAGAGCTCTCCTCAACTGGGCGTCCAAAGGAACGGGGGTTTCTGTGACGGAGTCACGCAAACAGAATATTGGGAAGAATATACAGTTGCACATATCTATATCACACTGTGTGTGAAGAACATACAAAAGCAGTAAGGTAGGGGGTATCACCTGATTTGGTCCAGGAATGGGGACAGATGTTCAGAGGGAGGGAGTAGAAGCTTGGTCAAAACCAGTAGGTAAAGTCTGAAAATAAAATGTAGAAGGAATTGAAGCCGACAGTTAACCAACAGCGTTTAGGATCTTTGTCTTGCATGCAGCAGTCCTCACTAACCTGCGCCCTGGGTTTGGTAGGAGGCGTCTGTCCTGGCGGGTTAATACCCTGTCCTGGGGTGGTTGTGGGCCCGGGACAGCCGGCGCCCCCGTGGTGAGGGCGAGGTTAGACGGGGGCACCAGGGCAGTCCGGGTGGAGGAGAAGAGGTTCCGGCGGGAGGAGAGGAGGTGCCTGTGTTCTGATCCACTGAGGGCAGACGTAGAGCTCTGATCTTTAAATAGGGACCGTAGCTTCTTATCCAGAGCCTGGATGGCGTCTCTGCCACCAGTCTTGTTCGGGAGCTCCGCCCCCTCCGACTCCACCGGCTGGGGTTGGACCTGGCTCTGACTGGGCAGAGCAGCTGAGACTTGGGTTGTTGTGTGCGGTGCTGAATGGACGAACGGATTCACAGGCTGCTGCTCTGAAGCGGGGACGGTGCTACTGGACTCGACGCTGACAACACAGGAGACGGAAACCACTGCTCGGGTGAGGCCCGGGGGCCGCGGGGACGGAGGTCTGCACTGACGGGGAAGGAATGGTGGAAGCGACGTTGGCAGCCGGCGGAAGCGGTGAAGGGGCCTCTTCATGGGCCGACTGCGGAGGTGGACTGGGATCACCGGGGACAGGGGCTGGAGTTAGGGACTGAATAGATGCAGGTGGAGGGGAAACCCTCCCAGTTGAGGGAGGCGGTGAGGATGTTGCCGTAGATGTGACACCAGGAAAAGTAATGCTAGCAGTGGAAGCTGCGGCTTCTGGAGGAGCCAAGATAGTGTTCGAGTTTGGGGCGAGTCCGGCCTCAATGGCTTCGTGCTCGGCAAGAAGGGGATCGATGGTGCTGCTTCTCTCCACGCGCGCCTGCTTCATTCTACTGAAAGCCTGCTGGAGAACTCCAGACGGAGCGGAGAGTGAAAGGCCCAGTGGCGTAGAAAGACCTAGAGAAATGTAAAAAAAAAGGAATTGCATAATAATTTCAAAAACTGACAATGTAATCTGATCGTTTTGAGCATCATCAAAGACTGAGGACACAATAACTGTTTTATAACACTAAATAAACACCAAAAACCTTGACAGTTGTAATTTTTGGAAAACACTGGCAGCCTTCAGATTCTATAGACAATATCAAAGTTAAAATGTTAAGCTTATGGACCTCGCTCACTCATTGCACCTTTAAAGCTTATTTTAATGCAGTGTCAAATGCATTACTGTTGAAACAGTGTTAATCCCCCTGGAAGTAAAACAAACTTCTCTTTACTACCTGGCTCATCTCCGAAGGAGGTGTTAGCAGAAGAACCGCCAAAGAACTGCTCTCTAAGACGAGACTCGGGCACTGGGCTGACGATGAACCTTCGGCCTGCTGAATGCACCACCTGCGCCGTAGTGCTGGGGGAAATGCCTGAGAGAACAACCAAAGGGAAGGCAAAGATGTGAGACCGGAGTTTGGATCAATATCAATACGCGGACTGGAGCGGTGCGTTTCCCCGCTAAGGTTTGTTTACCTGGCAGCATGGGAACAGACAGCTGGGGCTGTTGTTGGTGGTCACTCATCTGCAGAGATAAACATACAATGCGTGTGGTGACGTTGTCCGGCTCAGCGTGTGAGTCAAAATGCATCATCATGGGTGTTGTAAAGAAATACCTGGGGAAAACCGTCCTTCGTGCCCCGCCCTTTCTCATCGGCCATTTCTATGACTTCCCGGACCTGCTCGATGAAGGACTCTCGTTCACTTTCCAAGATGAATTCACTCGCCACCTGAAACAGAAAGCAAAAGAAGTTGAACTACCGTGACAAGCTCTGTGTGGTACAAGAACGTTCCACGTGTGGTCGGAATCTGTGACAGTCATTGGTTGAGGCAGCAGGTATTAAAAAGGGGCCCCAACATTAGTTATACACCTCCACTTAATAGTTTTAATCATTAATCAGTTGGCTCTTCATTGTCTTTCGTGCTTTTAGGTTGTAGAAAGTGCTTTTTACAAACCCATGTTATTATATTAAGTGTTTGCAAATAAAAAAGGTAATGTTTTGTGCATGGGGGAACAAAAGCCTGTACAATCCAGACTCACAATTGAAAAGTGTAGAATAAAATCTCTCTCAGCATCAGTAGAATAATAATATAACAAAAATAAAATAAATCACCATTAATTAGGCAATGATTAAGGTTCAGACATAACAAGTTGGTATCTGAATTACACACCATTCTTGCTGTTAAAATAGTCATCATTTATGGAAAGAAGACCGATATTAAGACAATGGGTAACTTGTGTTGTTGGTAGCCTTGCTCTCGTCTTCTTCGTCTGACCAGTTGGCCAGTTGCAAATGGGATTTGTGATAAGGTTATACTTTATAAACACTATAAACAGTGTGTATTATACTGAATGTATTTATTGTTACAAACAACCATTAAACACTAAATTCCTGGATGTGTGGAGGAAACCACTATTACCATGATCTGTGCAATCTCCTCTGGATTATCACCATCAAGGTCAAATTTGAAGGTCACCCATCTTCCTGTTATGAGTCTCCAGCTGGCATTCTGCTACTCGATCTCCCACATTAGAGATCTGCAAAGCATCC